TGAAAACTGAACTTTGTCTTTTATGTGGAAATTAATCGGACGTAACCGCTGGTGGTTGCGTAAACATCGTCCCATAATCATATTCTGTGCGTAATATGTCGTCCCCGTAATCACAGGCAATTGAAGATCATACCGGTATACCGCGGCTGATCAGGGCCAGGTGAGATCGTCTCAATGAACCCAAAATAACGACCACCTCGTTAACACGGCAATACAGTACCTACAGTATTACAATTTGACCACGGTGTGAGCGTGAACCATTCAGTGCGGCTGATACATTGACCTTCGAAGAGACAATTACAATGTAATCGGCTGTATAAGTTATGGTAATCGGTACTCGACGACAAGCATCTCGGTAGACAATATCCGTGTTTCCTGATCGACGAGTATATTCCAAACAACTACAAGTAGCCACACGCACACTGTTCGGTGTCTGTGACTCAACCTTGCAGGTAAAATATGTAGCTCTGCTAAGACCCCTATTAACAACACTTCCAATACAACAAACAATAACTTTCCATTGAATTAATTTACACTTTCCACACCTCCCTTTGCACAGTTGCTGCTCAGTAGATGGCACGCAAAAGACGACTACCATTGCATACGGAGGTGGCAGCAACGAAGAAATAAAAATCGCTCTGCTTTTGATTCAGGAAGCGAAATGCTGTAAGCTCTGCGACCGTGACTCCACCAACGTAGTATACCAGCACATTTTGGCGTTTGTCATCGGTGCTAGTGTCATAACCTGAAGCTTCTCCAGACATGCGAAGATAGCTGCTGGATCCATTCTCTTTCCTATTCCCATGGACATTCCAACTACTCAAACTCAGCATTGATGACGTCGGATCCTTAGCAAGTGTCTTGTACTTCATGCCTAGCGATTCTTGCAACAAACGTATACTCATTGGTGCGTACCCCGTGTAGGGAAACATAAAGTGGATATCCTTAGGACATCTTGTATCCTCATCATCCAGCGCACCACGCATAAGCAGGAGCTGCTTACGCATTTTCGGAAAGTCAAAGCGGTTTTCCACGGAAAGTAAATCCATTTTTTCTAGTTGCACGAGCAAAGGCAAGATCTGGTGGCCGTACGTGTGGCAGAGCTGCTGGCGATACCAAGCCAAGGCGTTCGGTTTGAGTCCACCACGGACAAGAGAGCACAAACAAAGTAGTTTTACCACGTCGTACAGGTTCAGAGGAGGTTCACGCAGGATAGCCTCCTCTAAAAACCTGCCTACATCCTTGGCTGCAGCCGATGATGCACTTGAACCGGCACTCATGATAGTCATTTCAGTCTCGACACAACCACGCAGAGCCTGCTGCGTACTGAGCTTTCGGATACGCTCTACAAGCTGCAAGTGATGCGCCAGTGACCGTTTCTTCTTGACCAAGTGAGGTGCTTTAGACAACAGAGCTTTCACCTTCTGAAACTCTGCCTGACTATCCTTTGGCGCGTCAGAGCTAGACCCCGCGGAACTACCACGCACTTCGGCAGCCAAGTCCTTAGCAACATCCACCAACTGGTCGGAAACCAAGTTGAAGTTCACGTCTCGAATCTCATCAAACAGCGCGTCCAGGTGGTTCAATACGACTTTCTGCGCTGTAGTCGTGGGTGTCGTCTCCTCGTCCACAGTACTGGTGGTGCTGCGTCTACTTTCACTAGCAGTTTCATCCGCTTCATCCTCTTCTTTTTCGTACGTGACGACGCCATGATTGACGCCAACGAGTGCATCCAGCAGTCCTTCATACGTCATCGGCGTCAGCAACATGGACAGCGGGTCTTCCATCCGATCAATCACCACCAATTTATCCATCGACATGGTCACGTCTGCTTCTTCTTCTTTCTTTTCGGCTCCTCGACTCATCTTGATTTTCTGCTGTTGTCGATGAGCCAGCTCCAGCATCTTTTTCACTTTTTGAGCGAAGAAGCCGTGACACATAACGTCTCCCACTCTGCGTCCTGTATGTCTCTCCACGGCCAAGATACTTTTGACAACAACAGTCAACGCTCGACTGTCTCCCTTCACATAGAGTTCTCCAAACACACTGTCGTGGCAAAGCGCCACGACTCCGCGATCCACTGGGATCAGTCCCAATGCCAAATTAGCTTGGAGAATAAAACCCGCAACTCCCTGTCGCTCCATCTCCAACGTCACGTCTGATGTGGCTGTCGGTAGCCATAGCACGGCACATCGTCGGGTAGGTACGAGTTCTAGCGGTCGAAAGGCGTCGGCCAGGCGCTTGGCCACCGTGGGAAGTGGTGGGGCCACTACCACCACGTCCAGCGTCTTCTTGTTTTGCTTTCCATTGTCCATTGAGTTCTGAGAAATCTCCAATTGTCGTTGAAGTTGCACCACGTCACCACGTTGTAATTGGACGCAAATGAGACGAGAAATTCCGAGGCCGTCGTAGAATTCAGTACCACCCGAGCCATAAGCGAGCAATTCAAAGATGGTCAATTGAGATTCATCTACTGCGAGGATTAATTTACCACGTACTGAAGTAGCTGGACCTAGAGTTTGCTCGATTGACCGGGAGAAGGCAGTCAAAGCATCCGATTTAAGCGCAGATTCGAGCTCCATCGAAAATGTTTTGAATGTCGTTCGACTGGTCAAAAAAGCAGAAGCATTTTTGACATATAGACCGCAATGATTTTGACAATGTTACATGGCTACACTTTGAAGTAACTTCGTAACTTCTCTAAGTATCCATCAGCCGCAGTGTGCGTGCATAATGCGTGAGCGTATGTGCTTGAAGTAGACTGCACGCGGGCTGTCGCAAAAGAGCAGCCATACACACAAGAATGTTGTGCATCGACTCAGCTACAAAGCTCGCCAATGACAGCATTTACGAGGCAGCTAGGTTAAAATACGCCATAAGTTTGACGATAGTCCGCTCGCTTAATAAGAGGTCAAACGTGGAATGTCTGCACTCTAAATGAAACTGTGTTGGTCGACAACGTAGTCGTATCGGGTCGAAGCTATGATGAGTAGATGGAAAGATGTCATTCCTTAGTCACACAGAAGAGTTTACACTACGCAAAGCAAAACACGATTGCATACGTGCATTTGCCCTTGGTCGGTATATCGGCGATGTCAGGGGTTGTGAGCTCCCAATGGGCCACCCGCCGCGCGGGACAGCAAGCGCGAGTATCATAGTCTGTCAAATATCGCGCGCAGTGGCACATAGCCCGCCCAGCCGAAACACATAAACTCAGTTTTCGTTGGTGTATGAGAATAGTGTGCTATCATGTGTGCAAGCAGGCTGTGGTGAATAATGAATGAGACGACAGGATGCACGTGTAAGCTACAATAGTCGGTAATACATCTACGTGATGGCACTCGCATATTTTATGACATGCCTAGGTCGATCGCATAGCTGCGTGTGTCACGCTCGGCTGCTGCATTTGTCAGCTTACCACGGCGAATTTCTTCGTTGTCGCAGCTTGCCCGGCAATAAGGATCCTGGGTTTGCAGCCGACCTTAAGAACCACAGGTATGCATGCTATTGCGCTAGCGTGACATCGGCTGAGTTTTACGAGAGATGTACTTACATACGGTTGTTCACAATAGCTTCGTTAACACGACCGACAACTTGCGATGGGATTATATCGTCGAGGCATAGTTAGGTTGGAGGGTGGATAGAAAGGAAGCTAGAATGAATGAGGCAGAATAGACAAAAAAATATTGCACGATAGAGAAGGAGATGACACTGTTGCGCCTTCGCTACTATTTGTGTAACGTAGCACTACAAGGCTTGACAGCACGACCTCAACTAAGACACTTTACTCTAGCACCGGCTGCGGCGACTTAATTTCCGCGAAACCAGGTGACTTCGGCTTCTTGCTGTTGAACAACAGCTCGATGTCCTCCAGCATCATGCCTTTCGTCTCTGGGCAGAACAAGTACACGAACACGCCACAGATGCAACACAGACCGGAGAATAGGAAGAAGACTCCGTTAATGTTCAGGTGCGGAAACAGCTTGACCACTTCCGTCATGACGGCGCCCATGGCCCAGTTGGCAGCCGTGGAGAGAGCCACGGCCGGAGCACGCACACCCAACGAGAAGATTTCAGCGGGGTAGATCCAGCACACGGGGCCCCAGGAGATGGCAAAGTTGAACACGAAGAAGGCCGTACCGACACAAATGAACCAGCCACCCACGCTCGGGCATCCGGCGTTCTCCACATTGCCGTCGCAAATGACAGTGAACAAGATGGCAGCGAATAAGTGGCCTATTACCATACCGACGGCACCAATCAGAAGCAACTGACGACGGCCAAACGTATCCACCCAACGCATGGCAGGAATGGTACTAAGGAAGTTGACACCAGAAAGAAAGAAGGCCGAATAGATACCAGCTTTCGTGATGTCCTGGAAGATAAGAGCGCCGTAGCTCATGATGGGGTTGATGCCTGTTGCCTGCTGCAGCACCTGGAGTAGCATAGCGATGATAACACGCTTACGGATGGACGGCTCAAGCAGTTCCATGAGTCCTTTGTCGGCCGCCAACTCCTCTGCGACCTGGTCGCCGATCACCTTCAGCTCACGACCGACGTTTTCAGTCTGGCGAAGGCGCTTGAGGACCTTCTCCGCCTCCTCCTTGCCTTTGTGCAGGTACGTCCAGCGAGGACTCTCCGGTACGAAGAAGATGCCGAGCATAACAATAAGAGGAGCGGCCATTGCCACACCGTTGGACGTACGCCAACCGTGGTCACGGTGCTCCACGATAATGTTGACAACGTTGGCCATGAAGAGGCCCGTCACGACGGTCATTTGCATGAAGCCCGAGAGCAAGCCGCGAAGCTCTTTGGGGGCCATTTCAGCGCCGAAGAGCGGTAGCGAGAACGACGAGTTGCCCACACCAAAGCCCTGAATCACGCGAGCGATGTACATAAGCTCATGTGCCTGCGCTTTGTTAAAGGACACCCAAGACGTGCCAATACAGAAGAGCAGACCGGCCGTGAAGATGGTCCAGCGACGTCCCAGCTTGTCTGCCACGTAGCCACCTACAAAGGCACCACCAAGGCAGCCCAAGTTGTACGCCATATTGTACCAGACTGTGAATCCGATCCATTCGGTAGGCAAGTTGGACGACGAGGACGTGCACTGCTCGTACGTAAAGTTGTGCCAGCCGACGCAGTAGTCGTTGAGGAACGAGTCCATGATGAGTACGCCCGAGGTAACCCCCTGGTCATAGCCGAAGAAGAGACCACCAAGAGCGGCGAATACGCACACGATAATGGCGTAGGAGCGCGAGCCCTCAGTCGGGATGTCATCGTCGTTGTTGTGGACGTTCACCACGACACCAGCTGCCATTGTGGTGCAAAAGAGCTGAAGTGGAAGAGACTGAAGAACTAGTGTGCGAAGGTTGTGGGTCTTGTGGAGAAGACGGAAAAATGCAGAATGACCGATTGGATTTAGAAAGGTAGGTCGGTATATATCTGCATGTGCTCATTGAGATAGGCAAGCCTTGTGTACAAATCTATGGTCACTTGAAGTTGGAGCGCGACAACTTATGTTAGCGGTGAGTGGACGGTGCGACTGGGTCGTTCTTTGAAGTGATGTAATGCCTCTCAGCAGTCTCACTGCGAGTATTTTCCCATAGAGAAGCAATGGTTGCCAATCAGCCTAGTCATGTGGGCTTAGTTGATAATGGTGCCAGTATCAAAGATGGAGCTATATTACGCGAGCAGTCGGCTGCCAGGTCGAGTCCGCATTGCAATACAGAGAAGTCCAGGGAAATCATCTCTGAAAGGAGAGCGGAACATGAAAAATATCATCGCTCTATTTTTTTCACGCTTGGCTTATCCTATGGCTTGTTGCTACACATATTATTGTCCCACCGCTTTGTCTGTTTGCACCCGGCTCTTCTTACAAACAGACACTAACGCCAGGATTGATTATTCCCGAAACAAACAAAATCAGTACAGAACTCCCTCCGTTAAGTTATGGGTACGTCTCATCAGAGGTTAAACTTAGCAGAGTTTGTGTATTATACATAATAGAAATGAAGGAATAAGAAAGCAAACGGCGTGGTTATAACTTATAACTTAGTGACCATAGAACGAGCTTGGTGGAAGCAAAATTATATAACCTACCGAAGGAGATAATTTATCGGAGGATAAAACTTACCGTAGGATAACTTATTGGAGGAAGGTCTGAGTACGCCAGCAGGGGGACTACCGCTCTTTTATAACAATTCATTGGGCTACTCTCTGACGACATGTCAGAGGTGGTAGCTGTATGATTATGCAATGTATACGAGTAGAAAGTAGGAGATGCACCGACTTATCTCTTGGGTAGTACAACATATGTTCTACCCATTGGATTTAAGCGTGGAAGAAGCAATCTAAAAAGTTCTGCCTCTCGCTGTTTTAAATGGACGATAGCTGCTAGTTATCGTCCATTTAAAACAGCGTTGATCACATCAGAACAACGATTGGAGCGTCCACTGAGTTTCCGTCTTTAACATTATTCAGCGGACCACGAGATAAAGCTATCAGTTCGTAGATACTAGAAATGCAATTTTTTTGTGTGAAGAAACCTACGGAATCCTCGAAATAGGCGTAATCGACGACAAAGGTATCTTCAATCGGCAAAGCGATAATGGCAGCTTCACTTCATTTTTTAGTTCAAATGTCTTGTCTGTCAGCTTGAAAACAACCGCACGCCGCGGTGTAAGTTGACGGACGCACAGTTGCGACACGACTTGCGAAGCTTGGCGCGCGCGACGCGATCGTGTGCACCAAGATGGGTTTAGCACGGTGCTGTTTGTTATCACGTCGTAGATATTCGCGCATAACACTTAGCGAGAGTAAATGTGTGTTGATGAAACATTCAACACTCCGACATATCGATTCGAGCAATTGCTTTTGTATTTCACCGTCACAAGTTGCGCTTGCTTTTGAACGTTAAGGGCATGCGACATACAGTTAAGCTTGCGATTCGCTTTGTTGTATACTCATGCGATATCCTCGTGTATTTCTTCTCAAGTCCAGCATACTATCACTTCGGGCAATCAAGTTTGATATGCTCCCAACATTTCAAAACATATCCTTCTTCCATTCAAAAAATTGATATGCCTTTATTCTACTTAAGCTTACAGGGATCTTCGTACACTATACACATCCACATGATAGAGATAGAAAAGGGAAGCGATACTGACGGAAGCAGCATCAGTTGTATCGATTGCTAATTTTCTCGAATGCGTTCGTACACGGGTCTACGCCTGGAATAGCGAAGACGCTAAGCAAGTAGTACGCTTGTTTTTTTGGATGGAGAGGTAATTTATCTTTTTCGCAAAATCTTCGTTTCGAGAGGTGACGCTTACCTAAGAATTTATTATCTTTCCTATTGAAATGTTTATTCGCTTTCAGCGAAGTGAATAAAATTTATAAATATTCAGGTAATAAAATAATAGTAGAAATAATACTTTAAGTATTATGACAGAAAGCATTATTCTAACACAATATATGAGTACTATATCCAGCAGTTACGTTTCCAACTTCACCTTGGTTACACACATATACCCCTCTTCGTGTCCATTGATTAACATGGAGCCGGACGACACCGTGGCGCTATACGAGCGCATTTTGTCACTGCTAAAGCCCCGGAATCTTCACTGTAGCTCAAATCTCATTCTTCAAGATGATATTTTAGCTCTACGAAGCTCAATTGACAGCGTTGTAGCATCATTTGTCAAAGTAGAGGAAGTACGTGATGCAGTGAACCAATTGAAGCACGGCAAAGTATCGACCTGTTTTAGTAAAAGCCTATTGGATGAAATGAATCGTACAGTGCAATTGCAACAGAAATTGCAAGAGACATTGGAAAAAATCGCGACTCGGATGGAAGTAGCCGATGTCACTTTTACAATAGAAAAAGAAGAAGAAAAACGAGAGAAACGGAAGCGAAAACAAGTGAAAAATGGCAACAAAAACGAAGAAAAGATGAATGAAGTGGCGTCATGTGTGTCTCAGGACGAGGATGACCATAAACGTAAAAAGCAGAAAAGAAAACCAGTTAGTGAGAACGAGGAGAAAAAAATGAAAGAAGAATCTGCTAAGAAGAAGCAACAAAACGACGATCTGTCGATAGCAAGCAAAGCTCTCACGGAAATATTAAAGGTCAGGACTGTTAACAAGAGGATGCAGGTTGAGTCAAAGAATACGTGGGTACTGGCCCTGTTCGATATCAAGCGTGTTCTCAAGCACCAATCTAGTCACAACGCGCAGACTATAGACAAATCAGCACTTGAAGTTGTTGCTCGCGCGTTAAACGCTGCAATTGTTGTTTTTAGAAACCTGGAGTGGACGGCTGAACACATAAAGGAAGTGTTATCTGTCATCGCTGTTCTGACTGATGCGTGCTCAAAGAACGAGACGCTTCAAAGTTTCTTTCACCAGTACGGCTTACATGCGAGTCGTATTGTGATGCTTTAGAGGATGCTGACTTTATTTTTGTGTTTTTATCATGGCACAGAGCTCGAGTTCAACTAGAAAGTCTGGAGATGAGTATCCATGCTCCTCTTACACAGTCATCGGTCAATACAAAGCCGGCAAGCGCAGATAGCTCGCTGGATCAGCTGCAAACTTATCACAATCTCGTCAATGACATGCACACACAGCCTCCTAGAGCCAAAGCGAAGCGAATCCTTCAAGCTCTCATTGCGATACAGCAAGTGATGGCAGGAGATGACTTGGGTACGCACCAGATAGATGTGCGACATTCGATTACCGACGTGAGGCGTTGGATCTGTGAGACCCCCAATCAAAATGATCTGTCCACGGAATATACCCGCTTTGCAAACGGCATCACTGCTTATAGTAAAATCTTTCCAGACAAGCCCAAGCAAATGGAATGGCAAAGGTACGAGTAGATGACCCCCTTTTCATTTTTCTCGATCGACGATTAACTCGTTCCACATCACTTTTTTTGTTCACAGACTTGGTGCCAGCGTACTCACGCTACTGGATGAAAAGACTAACTTATCTCAACCGGCAAGCACTCTTCATTTGCATTCGAGGTTTTCGACTACGACGAGTAAGATACAAGCTCGACTGGTGTCGGTAATGGATCTAGTGGAACAATGGCAAGACGGGATTTTCTCTATGAATCAAGTCGACATGGCGTTAAAGATGCTTAATGAGGTAGTATCTTACAAGTCGAAGGATTGGAATCCGTATTCGGATCAAACCGTGCGCGACTGTCTAGAGAAGCTGACTACCTGCATCAAGATGATCAATCGAGAAGAAGGCAAGACACACCGTGACAAATGTTTGAAGACGTTAAGTAGGTGGATAGCTGCTTGCAACAATCTTCGCTGAAGGCAAATATGCACGATCAGAATTGAAGTGCCACGCAACTTGGTAGTATTAGTGCTCGCCACTTGTACTCTATCTCCAAACTCGTGTTTTGATGGTCAAGATTAACCAATGTCGACCGTGAGGAGGAAATTACAAACTGATACAGACAAGTTGGGGTAATTGGACGGCATGGTGGTGTGCTAAAAAGCTGAGAGTGATGAAAATGAGGTTGGTCTTTCCTGCGAAGTCAGCATCAGGTATTTTCAGACCCCAAAAATTCAGACAAATCTTTGCAGAGTACAACGTCCTGTCAGAGTCTTCGCTGCGTGCACAGATATATGACTTGAAGTGGTGCTAATGTGTGCAAGCGGTCTGCAAGGAACTTATGTACGCTTGCTGAGTAGCAAGAAGCTTACTGAATTGGTCTACTTTCCTCCGAGATTGCCGTCTTGGAGTGTAAAATGTTTCTGGCAGAAATCTTACTATACCAAGGCAGCTAAGTCAAACTTGTCCTAGCCTACACTAGACATGGAATAACTTGCAAACCAAGACGCAACATCTTGCACAGGGTGCATGTGGCATGATGGAGTTGGTCGTCACGAAGAAGCGAAGGCTTGGTGTGAGGACCTGTTGTATGCACTGGAGCTTCGAATACCTGGATCACCAGACAAGATATCGTGTGAATAATGACCTTGCGCAGCTATATAATCTATAGTCAGTGCGTCCCTGGTGATCATTTGCTTGTTACCTAAGTAGGAAGGTGGCAAGCACATGATCACCAATACTTGGCTGATCAGCTGCACCGGTAAACGATTCGCCATCATGTGCTTTATACACAGCCACCCAAAGTGCAAAATAAGCGGCTCCACTTTCGCCCATGGATTTACTTACTCAGGAAGGAAGAAAAACAAACGATCCGCGCTGCAACACACTCGTCTACCGCGTCAATGGATCCGTCCACCTCACGATGATACTCGCTGACCCGAATCTCACTATAATGCTGCATCCAAGTATGTAAGCTGCACAATCTCGCGAATATTCGACCGACCGTCGCGCTCTTCCCATACCGTTTCAGCTCGAAAAACCCCGTCCGCTTGCACAAGACCGACGAAATGCTGCACGCTGCCATTCGTCCCAAAGTAGTACTTCTTGGCAGCTACCAACGCCCGAGCGTTTGATGCACGACGCAAATGCCGCTTGATTGTCTACAAAACACACACAAACACACATGAGTCTATTGGTCGAGCTAGGAACCCCATTGAGGTCACCTCACCTGGTACAGCTCCACTGCCACAGCTTCCGTGTAGATGGTCTCAGCCGTCAAGATAAGATCAAACTGCATTTGCTCGTGTGTTTGCTGCTCCACTTCCTCCATGTATCGAGACATGCTACTCCACGCTCCCGCATAGAACTCGGCTTTCTTGAACAACTGCTTGTCCACATTCCGCAGCACATTGGGACACGTCGTAAGTTCAAGTACCTCCTTATTATAGTCACTAAACGTGACTCTCTCTGCTCCTCGTAATAATGCGTGAATGCCTGGTAAACCATGACCACAGCCCAATTCCAATACTGTCGTAGCCATTGGAGTGTCCTCCATCTCTACAAATTTGACAAGATCCAACGCGCATTCCCAGAGCTTGAAACCACCTTCGTACACATTCGTCTGGACGTCTGACGTGATCAAGATCGAACTGATGACGCCTGTGCGTGTCACAAAATTTGCGTCCGTCGTGTTGACGATCTGAAACGTTTGAGTTCCTACGTGGACGGGAGAGAAGGCCATAGACGTGGCATTTGGATGATAAATAAATCTTTCACCGTTACGTAAACGTTTCGAGGGGATGGAGGGGGTAGATAGGGTTGTAGATATTGATGACGTTGTCGTCGTCGTCGTCGTCGAGTCATCCTCCAGTGCAAAATTAAACGAAAAAGTCATGACGAACAATGGCTGACGGATGGACGAAATGGTTCATTAAAAAAACCTCAATATTTACTTATGTAAGCTCAAGTGTAAACAACGATAAAGAGAAACGTTGTTACGACTGATTAAAAATAGGCAAAGGACCCATTTCCATCACGACTACCAATTTCTTCTCATGTCCTGCAATTGGTTGGAAAATCCAATCAACACGACCATTTTGGCAGCTAATCTTGACACAGCCAATACTTTTGTCTTCCCAGTTCAAACGAATGTCCGTCATCTTCATACAAAACACCAAAACGAGCGCCCACTTCTCCTTCCACGCAGAATTCAACCCTAAAATGATCTCTTTCATCATTCCGATGTGCAACTTCTGGTCCCAATACTTGCTTACGCAAAGAAAAGGTAGCACCCCATCTTCGTTCTCCATGTTTAGCACGTACACGTCCTTATTCGTAGCTCGAATCAAGTGACCAAAGTTGCATCCACGATCACGCGTCTCGACAATGAATCGTGGCCACGTCGCATTGGGTGGAGCCAAAAAAGGAATCATCGTGTCTGGCAATGCTGTCAGATTGCTATACCCGGCAACTAACTCGGTGACACCAACACTTTCACGTGTGTCGCTCATGATCATTTTCATCCACTTGAACTCGTTTTGAAACTCACCCAGCAGCCCATAAAAAAAGTCTTTGAACGGAATGCCTCGCACCCCATTTCTTCGCGATGCACAGAAAATCGCTTGAGCGAGCATATTCTCGAACGTTATAAAATCACTGCTCAGAGCGTGTCCGTTATCCTGAGTTATGTGTTTCTTTCCTTTCGAGAACATACGCATGGCTGAATACTTATACTTATAACGATTGGCGTCGCCCAGACTATCTTTTCCACCAACCACCGCGAGATAGAGCAGAACGTCCTCCTCGACTTTCGGAAAACAACAACGTGGTTCCCAGTGTACACCATCAACGTTCAACTTACCTTCTAAAAGCATCACATCAATATGCTGGTCTTCCACTAAGTTTGCAAAGTGCACATGCATACATTGCGTCCCCACCACACCGGCAAATTTCCTCTTTTTCGGCCGTGGCTCGGGCACGGTGTAAATGCGAGATTCATGGTCAACGTTCGTGTACGCTGTCGCCATTAGGTGGGCATCCTTTCCATCTTTTTTATACATGAAACCTTTTCCATTGTATGTACTGTTGCCAACGTAGTCAAATGCATTATTCAGCAAATCGCACAGGTTGACACTCTCACCCTTCATCGCAAATTCCGCCACTTTGTCCACGAAATACTTGTCAAATCTCCCCCGCGAATTTACCACAATGTCCATGAGGACAGGATACTGTTCTTTCATTCGTATCCAAGCAGCCTGTTTCTCTTCGTTCACCAAATCCATAGGCTGATACGGTGGCAAACGAGCAAAAAGCGTCATCCACTTTTCCGTTTTATAATGGCTAGCCAGTTTAGTAATATTGGCATCGGTGCCCATTACAATCACGACCAAACCACACGCACGAAAGACGTTACGCTGAAACGCCACCTTGTTCCTACCTCCATACAATTCCGACATTTCATCCAGAATGAAAAATGGCACCGCATTCTTTCCCATTCTTTTACGAGCTGCAACGACAGAGTTACGACTACACTTCTCCACATAAAGCGATGTTTCTTCCTCAAAGCAAATCATTTGTGCGGGTCGATTGTTTTTCGAGTTGCAGTGCTCCAGCAACGCTCGAATGAATCCGTACGTCCATAAATGCTCACTCTCGTAAATTTCGGATGTAGTGTCAAGGATGTCCTCCTCAGGCTTCTTCATTGGATCATCTTTCCGCGTAAAGCTGTTGAATTCTCTCGAAAATGAGCAAAAGTTTAGATAAATTAATTGTGAACCCTCTCCAAGGCTAATTGCAGGCCAGTAAAACCACGGCCGCCGTCCCCCCAAAGCAAAGGCAAGCTGTGTTTTTCCCATACCTGATGAAGCTGCCACACATATGAACGGCATTGGATGAACTGGAAACTCGTATAAGTTATCAATTTTGTTCAGGATCTGGTCACAGTAGTCGCCACAATTACGTCGAATACATTCTCCTCGATCACGGTAGTATTTTAATTCATTCATCCGACTCGTATATTTAGAATCTTTCAGTTTGATATATTCTCCCGAGCAGATCTTTACTAACACGTGAATCTCCTTCGTACGTGGAGCCGGTACAAAAACATTACAAATATCATCTTTATCATCAATTTTTTCAAATAACAAGGCTTCCAGTGACTCAGGAACATCTCCGCTATGCACAGCAGCTACATCGGAATCATCTGTAGAAAGCCATTTGCCGTCTCTCTTTGCCAGAAAAAACTGCAGTCGATCCCATCGGCTTGTAATCTCTTCGTATTGTTCCTCAATTGCCTGTCTCAAGTAGTACATCGACTGCGCATCGTCAATCTCGACACTAAACACGTTTCCCTTGCCAATTATCGCACAGACTATAGTAACGTGCACCATCTTGTCACAATTGTCGAATGAGTAAAGAGATCAATAAAGAAAAAAAGTTGCTACCGTTTATTTACAATCACTTGCCATCATAACTGAAAAGTAAATTTATGGAAAGTTATCAAGAATGAAGTAACAAGACATGGAAAGTTATCAAGAATGAAGTAACAAGACCTTTTTAAGTGATTGCACCTGATTTTGTGTATTGCCGGTATTATTTGACTATTAGTTTACCATGTAGATGTATGTGGCATTGAATTTTAGCCAATCCGCGACAGTTTAACGGTGGAAAAGGAGAAAAAAGAATATGGAGTCTATGGAGTCGTCGCCGTTGCGCTCGCACCGCGAGTCAGTGATAGTAAATGCAGAAGAGCTAGTAGATCCTCTGGAGATGCGTGTCTTTCAGTTGTCGCAGGAGCTCACACAGACGGACGTTGCACTTTCAGATGACGAGGTTATTACAAAGCTCAATATGTGCGTAAAATGTACATAAACAACTTAATATGGAATGTAGTTTCGTGATGACAACATCTGGATGACAGGATTGCTGAAACAATTGAAGAGGTTGAAACTAAATTTCGCAAGGAGCGGTCGTCGCCCTATCGTCGCGACGGTACGATGTCTTAGAGCAACTTAAAGTAACGATTTAAATGATGACTTGTTTATGTTAAATGGCTTGTTTCTGGGTGATTTTGTAGGTCACTTAATTGGTAATCTATTGCAAGAACTCGAACGAAATAAGAGTTTTTATCCAATGGTAAGTAAGAAGAAGTTGAAGTTGCTTTTTAAAAGAGATGGGGAAACTTCAATGTGACTGACTGCCTCACGAATTGCCCATCTCCTTTTCTAGCTAGAAGAGAAACTATCGGATCTGAGTACAAACCGTGTTAAAGCAGCGACATGTCGACTGTTATTGGCTACAGTGCCAGTAAATAGCCGAGCAATTGTACAGATGTTGGACGTTGACGAAGAAATGTTGGAGCGAGTTTGTGGACTTGCGACAGATACCGATCCAGGATTACGATGTTATGCGACAGGGCTGTTGTCGGTAGGGTTGCGAGACCGATCGATTGCGGATACTGTCGTAAATAATGAGACGCCTGTAAAATTACTCAAGAGAGCGCGAATGTATGCGTCCAAGTTGGAAAAGGAACGACAGCAGGCGGTTAAATATATACAGGACCATCTTTCTCTTGCAACTTCTCGCCACAAAAAAGCAGCCAGTAATGGGGCGATGAAGGTGACAGCCCCACAACGATTTTCCAAGCGTAAACATTCGGATATAAGCAACACGGCTACTTATGGAAATGACTACACTGAGAATGATGATGCTGACTCAGGTATCGAAGCAGATGAAGACGAGCCGGCTGCCACGATTCCCAGTCAGCCGTTTGTAAACAATGAAGACGATAGTATGGAAAATTGTGACGAAGATGGATCGATTGTAGTGCCAAGTCCTGCACATCATGAAGAGGATTTCAAGCGTTTGGTAATGCTGGAGCTATTGTATACTCTAGATTGCTTGGGGTCGATGGGTGAGTACGTGGAGATATTTGCACCAGCACTGAAAGAAGATATCATTACAACGATCATCACTTTCCTACATAGCAAGAATCCTGCCGTGCTATCCCATACAATGACACTGACGTCACATTTTCTTGCCCACAAGAAGTTCTCTTTCTCACTTGTTGAGGCAGGAGGAGCAGATCTGCTGTTCACTGTATTTAGACTGCAGCAGGCAGCTGGTCAAGTGGGTTTACTAGACCGAAGCTCGTCGATGTGTCTTCATGGATTCGCTTCTTCATTGGCAGTCATTGAACGACTTGTTGTGGTGAATGCAGATAATATGTTATCGGCAGCATTTGCACTACTTTCTAGCCCCAATGACCGTGCAAGGCAGAATGCTGTGGTCTTCTTCAGTCTGACCCTGGGTTTCAAGGCAATTCTTGACTACTTTGAAAAGCACAACGGCTTGTACACTGTGCTCAGTATTATTCGGGTTGGCAACCATCCAAAGTCCTCGGCACAAAGGCAACTTGCACAAGATGCGTGTTTGTGTTTGCGTCAATATGTACGCATGCAGATGGCCTTGGTGACGCATCGGCTCAGGAGAAAGCTGGCTCAGTTGAACCATCCATCGAACAGAGTGTCCAACGCCGTGCCTGCGTTAACGGCGGCGACTGCAGCATCGCGTATCCCAGCACGAGTCCCAAAAATTACGTGGTCAAAAGCAATTGATCTCGACGACAAAACTCACGATGCAAATATGGTATTTTACGAAAAGTATCGTTTCAGTGCTACCAGTGGCAACTCCAGCAACTCGTGGTCTGCAGCTACTGGTCCAGGCGATGGGATGTGGCCTCCAGCGGCAAAGTTGAGTCATTTGCGAGGTATTCTCGTGCTTCTAGAGGTTGTAGCTATGATGTGCTTAGTGATGCACAGCACGGACTCCGATGCAAACTCCACCACTATTCGGATATGGACTGCAGAACGCGCACAGTTCTGCTTGGACTCGCTTCGGGTGTTGACGCTCGTGGTTCCATCTTTGGCTATCGAAGTGTGCTCAACAGAAGTATTGCTCGATGGAGGAAGCGCGTTAAAACAGCTAGGAATGACCATCCTGCTGGACATTGCGATGAGCAACAATCCTAGAGACTCTGAGCTGGTACGCGATGCGCTACGAGTGTTTTGCAACTGCGTATCACCACCTCACCACGAAGATTGTTGGCAGCATCCTTACAAGGACATTCGGCAGTATACCCTGACAGCTCGAAGTATGCGAACAAAGAAAGATGATCAGTTGCAGCGCTCAAGCTTTGACACAGAAGATCAGGCATCGAGCACAATTACGCCCAACAACTGCTCAAACTGCTGTCCTAAGGCTAAGGACGATAAAATGCTGAGACCTGTACGAAAGTTGGCGCGTGAGCGGAATGCAATTAAAGTGTGTGTGTACCTGCTTCGTTACAAGCGCTCTGTTCAAAACGCAGATGCTATTCGATTATTGTCAACTCGTGCTTTGTTAGGACTATCTCGCGACCGACATATTTCCCAGATTCTCGAGAAAATGCAAGTCGGACAGCTACTGTCAGATATGATTCGAAGTGATCCAGTCCTGGAGGAAAATGCTGATATTCATGTACGTTTTCGAGAGTCTGCTCTGGACTTGATTTCTCACGTAACGCATCGAGCTTCCAACGTGGTAATCAACGAGGCAACGGATCCTACGGTGCGAAAGATCGAGAAAGCAAGTATAGTTGCGAATACCAAAATTTCTTACAACGAAGATGAGCTTCTACGGCTGATTTATGAGCATTTAGTTACGAAAGGTTTACATCATGCTGCATCAGCACTTGTGGATGAAACGAAGATCCCTGTTGAAAGAGCAAGAAAAGTATCAGTTGTTGCAGAGGCACAGCCTCCTCGGCCTGATGGAACTGTGGTTAATGGGGGATCACTTTCTTTTAATCCAAAGGGGTCAATATTAGTTAAGAGGCAGGCAGATGTTGACTACGACGTTCAGTCCACTGTGCTGAGTCGACGTGAGAGCGGGTATCTAAGTGATACACCACGACCCAAGAAATTGCAGCGAGTTTTATCTTCAGGGTCGATTGTGCCCGAGCTGAAAAATGTTCATGTTGCGGGTTCGACACAACACCCTCTCAAAATCTTTCGACCAGCGGACGGACAAGCCAAGTCCTCCAAGCCAGCCGCTCCGTACAGTCAATTGAAAAATAGGATACGGCAGGCATTCCACAGACCGCACATTTTTCAAGATATTGCTTCAACCGAGTCGGTGATGTCTCCAAGAGTCGTGACGGAGACAGCTAGCCCCGATGCTTTGCAAAAGCTTCCGATAAATACGCGATGGAGCTCGAATGGTGAAGCCGTGTTTACGTCTGCAACAAGCAAGTTGGATGAGATTGTTACGCATTACTTGAGAGAGCAGCACCGCCAGTGTGCTAACCCTGTTACGACGGTACCACCGTTTAGGCTATTGGGCGAAGGAGCACCGCATCGCTGTTCCGATCCGCCCACAGCTGTATTATCAAACTCAAATGTTTGTTGTAGATTATTGCGGCGTAGTCGGACGGGGTATCGATTTGGGCTGTCGGCATTTTCGTCATATTATGCTGATGCTGGAATTGATCGCTACGTGTTTAGCCGCTACCGGCCATATCGTACTGTAGGAGCACACATTGGGGCGTTTGCATGGGATGGAGTCAGCATCGCTCGATTTTTTGGCCAAGATCAGGAAAATATGTTGATTGGCAATCACGGTGGAGAGTTGCGCCAATTTAGTATCGAGTCTGACGAAGTCGTGGAAGAATGGACTTGCCATTCGGCATCAAGTGCTATTGTCGATTTGGAAACCAACGAACTGACGTCTATGGGTACTCAAAGCCAACTTATTATAACAGGCGCTGTGGCTCTATCGGAGCTTGCCGTGAACGAAATTGCCCTCTGGGATTTAAATGGCAGAAATGAGCTTGTAGAGCGATGGCGTTTCAAGGGTGGTCTACGTCCTCAATTTAATCATTACGGAGACCGCATTGTTGCACTTGACGCGCGCTCTAATGAAGAAGAAACTGGATTAGGAGGGCCAGGTTGTACCGTCAATAGTGCTGTTGTTCTGGATATTGCTACAGGAAACGTGTTGTGTAATTTACAGGATGCAATGCGCTCCAATGGTTATGGTGTAGAAACCAATTGTTGTTTCTCGCCCTGTGATGGCACTATTCTTACGGATGGCATGTTGTGGGATGCTCGTATCCCAACACGCGGGTTGTACAAGTTCGATAAGTTGTCCAACGTTGGTTGTGGATTTTTTCACCCAAATGGCAACGAAGTGATCGTCAACTCGGCCGTGTGGGATCTGCGTACATATCGGCTGTTACGAATGGTGCCTGCGTTGGACAAGTGCAGCATTAAGTTTATTCCTTCTGGTAGCGTGCTGTTTGCCTATTATCCATACGCTGGGGTAGGTAATTTGCGTTTGTTCGAGTTAGCGGGTGGGCGTGACACTGACTATTGTTGTTCATTAGGGAGATTACTTGGAACGCAGGAAGGCCAAGCTCAAGTCGTGGTTCCGTGTGCTGGACGGGCGGGACTACCGCGACATTACAACTATTGATCTTTGCCGTCCTGTCTTTGATCTCAGCCTGAATACCAAGAGCACGGTGCTATCTGTTGTGGAAGGACGGTATTTGGATGCTGGTGACGTGGATGACAATGATTCCATTTGTCGTCTTTACGACATCGGCCGAAAGCGTCCTGCTGAAGATGACTCCGATGCAGAAGATGGTGACGATGACTCGGACACAATAGACGATGACGAGTACGACGAGGAGAATTCTAGTCACGAAGATGATGACATCGGCGAGGATGATGATACAGAAGACGAGGACGAGGAGACTTTTGGTTCCGACTCGGAAGGTGCTGGGAGCTCCGAGGAAGAGGACGAAGCCAAAGAGAGTGACGAAGACGCGGCGCACATTCTTGCCATTGACGATGAAGAGGACAACGGGTCGATTTTGTCTACTCATGATCTCGGGTATTTATTAGAACTTCCTGATACTGCGTTTTACGATGTTCATGGTCAATATTCGAGCGATGAAGACGACGCTGAAGAAGACGAGTAGTGTGGAAAAGATTGGTGTCTCTCCTCCGTACTGATACAATTGTTTACAGTTTGGTCAATTATTGCGCCTCTATCCCAAGTATTAGTCGAAAGACATGACTCGCTAAATATTCTATCACTATTGCAACAGACAGGCTACAACTTCAGTAGCACAAAACGTGATAGTCTAATATTCATAGAAATTGTGATGTTTTAAGTTTTTTATAATGAAATATAAAGTAAAGGAGGCATCTTCTATTGCCTCCGTTACTTTATATTTTCATAGCTCTAAAGTAAGCCTGCTCTTTTATGAGATCTGTACCAAAAAAAATAAGTTTTGTTACTTCAGGCTTTCCCTGGTGCAGCAGTTACTTACCGACCTGATGACCCAGCGGTCACGGGTTCGATTCCCACTCGCGCAAAACTTTCCGATACTGGGTATTGGAGAGCACACCCGATCTCTCCACAAGCGAAGTTAATAACCTGTCAGAACGAATTCCACCGACCTTTCCTAGCGAAGTTATTAAAACCTTGGTTTGATATAATAAGATAATGTCACGTATTAAACCAGTTTTGTTACTTCACATGTTTGCTATCTCATTTGTCAATATTGGTGCCGTGCGGCTATACTGTTACAAAAAAAACTTAAAAACGATTAAAGCAAGATGATCAATTTAACAGCGAATGGCGGCTAAAATCAAGCTACAGTATATAGTACAGGTTTCACCAAGATCGCCAAGTCGCTTAAGAGCATTGCTTCTATTTCACTTGGCACTAATTCTAATCGTGCTTGTAAAAAGCACACAATATTTAAAGGCAAATAAGACATATTTGCCGTCAGGGTTTGATCATCTTGATGCAGGTAGTCAGCTTCTCTAGACAGTCGCGCACGGTTTGATCCGAATACGGGTTCCAATCCTTCGACTTGTAAGCTACTACCTCATTAAGCATCTTTAACGCCATGTCGACTTGATTCATAGAGAAAATCCCGTCTTGCCATTGTTCCACTAGATCCATTACCGACACCAGTCGAGCTTGTATCTTACTCGTCGTAGTCGAAAACCTCGAATGCAAATGAAGAGTGCTTGCCGGTTGAGATAAGTTAGTCTTTTCATCCAGTAGCGTGAGTACGCTGGCACCAAGTCTGTGAACAAAGTAATGTGGACCGAGTTAATCGTCGATCGGGTCATCTGATCGTACCTTTGCCACTCCATTTGCTTAGGCTTGTCTGGAAAGATTTTACTATAAGCAGTGATGCCGTTTGCAAAGCGGGTATATTCCGTGGACAGATCATTTTGATTGGGGGTCTCACAGATCCAACGCCACACGTCGGTAATCGAAAGTCGCACATCTATCTTGTGCGCACCCAAGTCATCTCCTGCGTCTCGCAATGGAAGCTTGAAGGATTCGTTTCGCTTTGTATCTTGGGGGCTGTGCGTGCATGCCATTGACGAGATTGTGATAAGTTTGCGGCTGATGCTCCAGCGAGCTACCTGCGCTTGCAGACTTTGTATTGATGACAACTGTGTAAGACAAACAGAAATATTTATCTCAAAACATGTCCTAGAGGGCACGTGTAGACGGACGCTTCGTAAAGAAGCTGCCACGTACTACGCGGGCACACCCTTAGGCAGCGCGAAGAAGTGGTTAAACCGTCTTACCTCCGCGTGCGGTGGTGGTTGCGTTGGTCAGTTGCTTAAAGCTGCGGTGGAGTGGGTTCTCAAAATTGTATGATGAGACCCCAAACCACTCACTGTGCCGGACTGCCGGCTGTCGGAGGGGGTACCCCGATGCCGCGTATGAACCTTCTCTCACCTTGTGTATCCGTCGGCTGGCGGGTTGCACTCTTTGGAGTACTTGGTGAAGATGTAGACGTCTGCCTTGAGGGAGGTAGACCTGGGGGACCTCGAGTGGATATGCTTCACTCGGTGGGCCGGTAGGTGGCCACTCGATCGACCTTGTCGAGAATGGGCTTAGAGCCAACTTCTTCAGGTAGCTTGTCGTCCCTGGCCTTTTCCTTCTTGTTTCAGGGGTATTAACCACCTGGACTTTACGTTGATCCCGGACCGTGAGGTGAGGGAGACCGCTTCCAATAGCGGGTCTTGAGGGGGTGTTGCTACTCGAACGAGCTCACAGGCCAAATATATCCTGGAGCTCTATTCGTACTTGAACTTCGCTACACAACTGTCTTCGACGGGGGGCAAAAGTATATCCCTTACCGGAACAGTGAGTAACTTAGAGCAAGTTCTTCTTGGGTGACGGAGTCGTGCCACGTAGATCGCAAATTGAGTAGTATTTAATATAGTCCTATCCTTTTAACTCCTTTACTCTATCCTTGCCTGAAGCTCTGATTCCTTGCGTCGACTGGTCTGATCCTTGTATTAACTGGTCAGGAGTGGCTGAACCCCGAGGGGCCGAGGTCGACCAATGAGGGACCCAGGTCTACCGATGAGGGACCGGGTCGACCAATGAGGGACCCAGGTCTACCAACGAGGGACCGGGTCTACCGACGAGGGACCGAGGTCGACCAATGAGGGACCCAGGTCTAACGATGAGGGACCGGGTCGACCAATGAGGGACCCAGGTCGATCAATGAGGGACCCAGGTCTACCAACGATGGGCCAGGTCGATCAATGAAGGGCCATGATCAACTCCCTTTGGTACCGGCTAACCGGTACCCTGATACTGATTTTCTTCGGTGGGTCCTGCGGATTGTTCTCCTCCAACGGTCGCTCCCCTTCGAGGCCCCTGTCTCTCTGGTCCCCTGTCCCTGACCCACGGTCTACACTCCGAATCCAACTGGATTCTGGGACCTCCACATCACAAAAACAGCACTTCACCACAGCCGCCCCCTGCACTTGCTCAACCGTACAACGGATTGAGCACGCGCATGTCTTCACTTCCTTCGTCAAGTAGGCCCTTTACTGTACCCTTTGTTGCTCGTCCATCTCTAACTTGTGTCTTTCCAGCCATGTCGTCCCCTGGTTCTGACTTACCGTCTGCTGGCCCACCGTCCGCTGATCCACCGTCTGAAGAGCCGACCTCGATCGTCGTCGCCCCTTCGGTTGACTCTCCATGTGAAGAGGCGTCCTTGGCCGACCTTCCCGGGCCGGTGTCTTCACCGTTGAGTGCTGCCGAAACTGTTGTCGTTTACAGCTCTCCTGTTTTCACCGCTTTGCCTCCTGACGAGACGGCAGATCCTTCTGTCACGCCGGCCTCCATGGTTGACCATCCGTCTTCCGCACCCTTCAACGTACGTGTGGATTTGCAGGAACTGCAAGCTCTCTTGGACGCACACTCCCACCGCATAGAAGACTGCGAGGGTCGGCTAGGTGTCCTTCCCACTTCGGCCACCTTATTGGCCACTCGTTGTGAGCGTTTGGAAGAGACGTTGCGCGACAATTCCCGGCTGGTGGTCCAACTCCGCGAAGCTCTTCAGCACGAGACTACACTGGTGGATCGTCTGCGATGGAAGGTCGACCACATTCGAAGCCGGTACTCGCTTCTCGCCGCAGAGCTTGACCACGTCGACTTCTTCGATGGGCCACTCCCGGGAACAGCTCCTCCTTCGGCGACTTCGCCTCCGGTCGCAGGTTCCCCTTCGAGGCCGGCGAAAGCACTTGGTAAACGGACCAGGCGGCCGTCACCCCGTGTACCTGCCAAAGCTTCCAAACCTCCGAGGCCCGACGCATCTGCCATACCGCTGTCGGCAGTCTCTGGTGGCCGTTCTCCTGTCTTGCTGGAGTCTTCGGACGACGACCTCAGCGACGACAACGAGACACTTCGGGCGGCTCTGGCCAAGTCTCATTCTTCTAATCGGCGCCCCACCAGTGCAAACTCTGTATGTCTTCCGCCGACGTCCGCTCCCCCATTGAGGACCACCTCGGCTACCGGCCTCTCGTTGAAACGGGCGATGTTCGGGACATCGGACTCGGAGACCGAGTCGTCTGCGGGGAAAGAAAAGAGCACGCCCACTGTTGCGGACGACACTTCGCCTCCTTCGGCCGACTCTTGCTTGCTTCCCAAGGATGTCATGATCCCAGGGTACATGCAGTCGAAGACCTTCTCCGCCGCGTAAGTGGCACCTTGGCCAGTCGACCTGGTCAATTCTTGGTGCATTGTAACAATGCCTCCCAAATACTTGGTCGACCAGCTGGATCTACGTTGAGGTTGGTTTGGTCCTCCGGAAGGAAACCTCGACCGCCCTCCCAAATGGAAGAAGTCGTTGATGAACTCTCAAATGATTCAGAGATTACTGGCGGCGGAACCTTGGGTGGAAGCTCGTGTTCCCATGCAACCCGTTTCTTTCCGATCTGTTGGCTGGTTCGCCCAGTTGGCAGCGGCTTACATCCAGTTTGACGAAGAGCATAGTCAAGCACTTTGGGAGGCGACCCACTGCCTATGGATCTCCAAGGACCAAGCGCGCTCGAACTCTTTCCTCGCGTCATACTACAACGCGCGGAAGAAGCGTCGGAGTCGGGCGAATCGAGCGTGGCGGGAGGTGGTCAGCTTTATCTTCATTGGGATGAGCAAGGGCCGCTGCTATCTCGACATTTTCCTGGACCCTTTCTTCCGTCATCTTCCATGAACCCGCCGTGTGGTATATTGGTTCCCTGGTCGTAAAGAGGGGTCGGACCCAGTCGACCTGCTTGAGGCCCTTCGGGTGTCGGATTCCGCGTGGCCGTGGCTCACCCAGTATCGGTTGTCTTCTGTAACCCATCCTGGTGCTCTAGTTCCACGCCTCAAAGGTAAGTTTGGGCCACCCGTTTAGGTCTTCCCCTGAACATTAATCTTCTTTTCTCTTCGATCCTATTTTGTGTGCTTGTCCGTCTTCTATCTCCTCTTGCCATGTTTTCCTCTGTTCCAGGTGATCTTGGCAATCTTCCTCCTTTGTCCTCCATTCTTCTATACTCCTGACTCGTGGAAGTTCGAAGTCGCCCCGTAGGCGACCCAAGTCTGCCAACGAGGGGCCGGGACGACCAATGAGGGACTAGGTCTATCAATGAGGGACCCGGTCTACCTTCCAAGGATCTTGCTACCGTCTGCTAGTTTTCATGGCTTTGCATTACTTCGAAGCGATTATGGCTTGTCTTCTTGCGCTCGAATTCCCGGAGTAAAGCTCCGCCATTCAGATCCACTTCGTCCGCCCACGAGGGGTCAGGGTGCCCCTTCCATTGCACGAGGAATTCTCGTTGTTGCCTCCCTTACCGAGTCTCCTTGCCGGTACGACTCTCTAAAATTTCTTCGACTTCATACTCGCCTTCTTCCAATTCCCGCACCCGGCTGTCTTCTGGTAGCAGACATTCGTCGAAATCGACTCGAATCGATCTGTTCCATCCACCTTCAGCTCGCTGTTAGGCCGATCAGGGAACTTTCTGACGGGCTTGAGCTTGGAGATGTGCACGATTGGGAATAGTCTGTATTCTGTACCTCGTAATTCCAGACTTACTGCATGATATCCGACTAATTCCTGGACTCTGAACGGTCCGTGCCATAGATGGGCCAAATTTTTGGCATACCCCTCGTTCACCGGTCTAAGTATAACCATACCGGGACCCTGGCTGAAATTCGTGGCCGACTACACCTTCATTATGCGCTTGTACCCGAGCCTGACTAGCCGACCGTAGTGTGGTGGAGTGGGATTCGCAAAATTGCTGATGCGTGTCCAACTTCACTGGCGCCCAGACGACCGACTATCGGAGGGGTTACTCCGTTTCCGTGTAAAGCAATTCCTTCCTTACCTTCTGTACCCGTCGGTAGGGCGGGTTGCACTCTTCTCGGTGGACTTGAGTCGATGTTGTACTTGATTGTGTTAGGGATAGGTGGGGGGCGATCGAGTGGAATTCCTCACATGATCGCAGTTGTTCTTGGGGTGCTCTGTTTGAGTCGCCCTGATCTCCCTTGAGATCGCCTTATCCAATGGGTTGATACTTGATACGCCTGCCTTCTGACCACTTGAGCCGTCTCGCAATCTTGTATCTGGACTTCTTAGTCCTCTGCGTCCAATCGCAGCTTGAGTTGTTTTGTTGAGAATTCTTGCAATCCCTGGCCAGACAATCCAGAGATATGACTTGCGTAGTATGTAGACTTCCTTGAGACGTCGGGTGGCCAAAGAATCCAGCCCGGAAGAGAAGTCGACACGTGTACTTAGAAGCAAATTGAACTCTGTTAATGTTACCAATCAAATACCAAAACCTATGATCTTGACTATCTGTAGCTCAGGATCTATTGCCACGTATCGCCCTTTCGGAAAAATCAGATCTTGTAATGTGGTCCACTCCAATATCGCCGCGATCTGGATCGCTACCTTGCTCAGATCTAATACCATTTTAGTATCAGATCGCGGTACTAATAATTAGTATCGGATCGCGGTACTAAATAATTAGTATCGGATCGCGGTACTAAATAATTAATATCAGATCGCGGTACTAATAATTAATATCAGATC